AGCAACTACTTTATTAACACTAGCATTATCGAAAGTAAATGAACGAATTTTACGTTCGCAATGATATTCTCTAACAATACTAATAATAGCATTAAATGTATTATTAGCGTTGTGAGGAAACTCAATAATTCTAAAAGCAATAATTTTTTAAGCATGCACCAAAGTTGGTCCATATAATGTGCAGTTGCAGTTATATATGCTCTTTTATTAATCTCTTCCCATATATCTGAAGTTAAAGATATGACACCCCCATATTTTTGTAAATTCATAATTAATTGTTGTTTTGTTAAAATAAAATATTGTATTGTATCGGAACGAAAAGTGTTTCGACTTATCCCAACGTACCTTGGCTGCAGATATTCTTTCACATACGAGACGTAGTGTTAGTTGTCAATTAATGCCAAAGGCAACTCAGCACCAGCAACAAACTTCACCATTCCGGTTCGAGCTTTCTCCTCCGAATACGCCCATGTGGATAGGGGTGCAGTAGAACCACTAGCGTCTGGACTGGCAAATTGCAATTGTGTTTGATAGCCTGGGATAAGTCTGTGTTTAGCCGCACATACTTTGTAATGACGGTTGAAATGGGTGGTACCAATTCCTCTTTGTCATGCCAATATTTGTTGGCAGTATTTATATACTGCTTTGGATTCTTGGACTCCATTAACGATTTTTTCCGTTGAAATTAACTTAAAGTGATCCCAACATTTTGCTTGTTTGTTTCCCTTTCGCTTTCCCCTCGCATTAGGAATATTTAATTCAGCCTCTTCTCCCTGATCGTGTTCTGTTTCGGGAACGTCAATATCATCCAAATTAATTGGATAATTTGGATTGCCACTTACATGATGATGAAGATCCAAATCTGGAATATTTTCAGGTAGGGGTACGTCATTTAGACCTTCAAATTGGTTCTGAATTTGACTTTGCGGTATCATAGGCGATTCTTTTCCTCCCACACCAAACAAGTTTTCGACAAATGAGCATGGATCCATTTGTTTAGTTGTAATAAGTAATAACTAGTAGAAGAATAATTGTATAAATGTAGTGAGAAATGAAAATTGGATGAAATTTCAATAAATATAGTGAGAACTGAGAAATAAGAATTGAATATTATATAAATTGTATATAAAAATTGCAAGTTATCAACACAACACAAGAAAGTTGAGAGAAATGTAAAAAAATTTGTGGTTAAATGCCATTATTTATAGAAGAAGAAAAGAAAAAAAAACAAAATATACGGACCAAAATGGTCACTGAAAAAATTCAGCGACCGTTAACGGTCAAAAAAAAGAAAAATAATAAATGGGTGACTGAAACGATCACTGACAAAAGTCTGTGACCGTTTGATAAAGTGACCGAAACGGTCACATTTTAAAAAATGTGACCGTTTCGGTCACATTTAACACGAGGGCTTGCCGCGAGCGGCTCGTTTTTTGCTCGGCTCGCCCACTAAACCTGCCCGTTTGGCTCGCGCTCGCGCTCGTGTTTTTATGAGCCCGAACTGCCCACGAGCTCCATTTTCGCGAGCTAAGCGGGTGAGCCGACGAGCTGCTCGGCCCATTTGCCACCCCTAATTAAACGGTCACATATAGTTACAGCAAAAATAAGTTTGATCACAACTAGTTACATAAAACACAGGCATAGACATGAACAATAAATCTGGTCACAGATAAATTTCAAGAGATTTTTCTATAGTAGAGTGTAGAGAGAGAATTTTTTTTCTTCAATTTTTTGAGATTTTTCTATCATCGGAGTTGGAGAAGTTGACGGAACGATCATCGGAATAGTCGTCGAAGCGTCCATCGAAGCAATCGTCAAAATCGATGGCCATCTCCAGTGGAGAGGTAGAGGGAATGTGGTGTAGTGGGGTGAAAATAAATAATATATATTATATTACAATTTAATATTTAATAAATTTATTTACCACCTAATTTTTAAAATATTTTAGTGAGTTTGTTATTTATGAAATGTAATATATAGAATCAGGGTTTATGTATTGATCCAAAATTAAATTTGAGGCCCAACCCGTTAAATTAAAAATAATAATATCTAAGATATGGAAAAAAAATTCTAAATAAACACAATAGTAAAGATATGAGTACTTATAATTTATAAACGTCTATTTTATTTACATAAATTGATTCCCATGAACATTTTGTACAAATGAAATATTATTTGACAATAAAGTAAAATTAAGAACATGATGATGAAATGAATAAATCCAAAATAAATTGTAAAAATAAAAATGCTTCATAAATTTACATTTTATTTATACATTGTTTTTTAGAAAAAATTCCTTATATAGATATTAAGAAAAAAATAGAGATTTTCAAGTAATTTCAAACTTTAAAAATTTATCCAAATTTAACAAAAAAAATAATCGGATTCAACTTTAATTGGGTCGTAGCCAAAACCGACCAACCCAATCCAAACCAATCAAACTTGGTTGGTTTGTATTGGGTTGGATTTAAACCATTAATGGGATACGACTGGTTTGATTTTAGATTAAACCTACCATGTTAGATTGGGTTTGGCTTGGAAGAGACGTGGCAATGGGCTGAATCGAGCCGGCTCGGCCCTTAAACACATGAGCTTGACTCAGCTCATGAGGTCTATTTTTTTTTTTTTTTTGAAAATTTCCAACATTTTTCTTCACATTTTTTACGAGCCCACGACTCGTGGGCTTGTGAACTTTTGGCTCGTGGGCCTTGTAAGCTCAACAAGTCGAGCTTTGCTCGACTAGTTGAATCCCACTCCTGCTCGACTCGTGACGAGTCCGAACCGAGTTTGATATCTCTAGGTTGGAAAAAAATCAACTTAACCCAACCCATGCCCACTCCTATCGTCGAGGACCCTTGCTGATTAAATTATTTAATATTACTTCACTCTTCTTAAGTATTCAATTCAATCTTTCACTTCCTTGTTAAAAAATATTTTAAAATGCTTCTAAACTATGACAGAGAGAAAAACATTGATTCAATCAAATTGGAAATACTATAGTGATTTTAATAATACTTTGCAAAGTTGAAATGATTTTAAAATTAAATTTTTAATTTTTGTGGGGCCTCGAGTATCAAAACCCGACCCTAGGGACTGTGGTGCTCAAATCTTTCAGATCAAATTATCGAGGTCAGCATAACAAGCTTCGACCTATTTGTTTATTTCCATACCAACCATTATATTGGGTTGGACTACGAATTAACTAGTCCAGCTGTAACGACCCGGACCTCTCGCCCAAACCGTTATCTTACGTATTGTCCGTTTCGGGTGGGCCTTGCGCCCACTTACCCTTCATGGCTTTCTATCGCGTTCCCCAGGATTCGAACTCTTAAATCTCTCTTATGTAGAGGTCAAGAGTTCGAATTCTGGGGGACGCGATAGAAAGCCGTGAGGGGTAAGTGGGCGCAAGGCCCACCCGAAGCGGACAGTACATAAGATAACGGCTTGGACGAGAGGTCCGGGTCGTTACAAAAAAAATGCGCATTTTTTTGTAACGACCTGGACCTCTCGCCCAAGCCGTTAGCTTTACGAATGGTACCAGGATTCAACTTAAGTCTCTTTTATATAGAGGTCAAGAGTTCGAATCCTGGGGAATGCGAAAGAAAGCCGTAAAGGATAAGTGGGAGCAAGGCCCACCCAAAGTGGATAATACGTAAAGCTAACGGCTTGGGCGAGAAGTCCGGATCGTTACACCAGCTATCAGTACACACTAATTCCTAGGAATAATGTTATTTGCAGTCGCTCACCATCGTAGTCATTCTATATGACATACATGTAACAATTAATGATTTAATACATTAATGTAATAGTTTTTTATTACCGTATGCAACAAATTACTAATCGACACATGTATATTATGTAGGATGATCGTAGTAGTGAGCGACTGAAAATAATATTGTTCAAACTCCCATACATTTTGACACCAAACTTACAATTATGCATAAAGCTGTGCATGGTCCGGTTCGGTTCTTTTTAGAACCGAACTGAACCAAAGAATTGAGGTATTTAGTAAGTAAAGTCATCGGGTCCAAATATAATTATGGAACCGAACCCGAACGTTTCCATTCGGTCCTGTTCCACTTCGTACCATAATTACATTTTTTAACATTTACAACAACATCATATAAATACAACTAATAACATATTTAATCATAACTTTTACAAATTAACGATGTCCAATTCAAAAATATATAAATAACAAGTTGTCTAATAAAATTAATTTACTAACATATACAAATACCAAAAAATAGATACTAATATTAAAATATTGACAATTCATATCAATAATTCATTTGCTTCAGCCTTCAAGTCGACATAAAAAAATTTCTTGAATTAGAAGTCATAGAGATAATATATTTTTAAGTATTACTAATACTTCCGACTATTTGATTTAATCATCAATTGCTTGACTTGCCATAGGAAGAAACTCTATAGAAAAAATTGAAAAAGCAAAATTAACAAACATAAATAAACTAAAAATTGTTCAGCTAAAAAGATTTAATAAGAAAAATAAACCATATATTTTGTTACTATTCTCAATGCTCTTATAGAACTCCGTCTCTTCAATGCAAACTCTATCTTGGGAAATTCTCAAAAGTCTAAATTATTCTATTGGCCAGTTTTGTGTACAAATCAAGACCTCAACTATTTTAAGAGTTAAAGAGCTCCTAAATGGATCAAAAATACTCCTTCCAGTACTAAATGCTGACTCAATCACCTAATTAGTTAAATTGTTAATTTGTTTAGAAAAAAATAAAATAATTTGATTTATTCAATATAAAAAAAATTAGGAAGATTCGATTATTCGGTTCTTGATTTAGAACCGAATCGTACCCATAGATTTTCGATTCAAATAATCATTCGAATATTTAACTTGAGAAAAATCATCAAGTTCAATTCGATTAGAAAATTTTATCCGACCCTAATTATGCATCCGGTTTAGTCAAACAACAATATTTCCAAATTAACCGACCGTGACCCCAATAAACTGCACTTTTCAATTTTATTTCTTTTGGCTAAACTCTTGCATTTTTCTTAACCCCATTTCTCTTCCCCCATGAAAATTTCAACCCTTCACTCCTACCGTATTTAGCTTCTAGCGTGAAGAAAAAATGGTGTTCTAAGTTAGAGTTTGCCAAATAAAGAATCAAATACTAGAAAAAGAAACACAAATGTCGCTGAATCAGTCCAATATTAGCAACAGCACCAATACTAATGTTTCGGTGATCGAATTGTACTGGAATTTAGTGGCGAAGGCAGACAAGAAATTCTCGAAGATTCGTGATTTGCCCTACTATCAACGCACCCGGTAAGTAAAAATTTACCTCCAAAAGCCTTAATTTTACTTTTGGGGTTTTAGGTTCATTTTGAAGGGGTAAGATAAATTTTTTATTTTTTTTTATTTTCTTGTATAATATCGATAATATGCTTAATTTAGCTAAATGTTTTACTTCTATTATAGTGATGTAATGGGCGGTATAAATGTTGATTACAAAATCAGTATGTGAATTGTATTATATTAAAATGAGATTCTGAGATGGTGGTTAATTTTAATGATTTATTAGATATGATACGTACTTTTACAAAGTTTTCAAGGTCTACACCCAGTTATGGAAGTTTCAACAAGAGAATAGGCAAAAGCTGGTCGAGGCAGGGTTGAAGAGATGGGAGATTGGGGAAATTGCATCTCGGATTGGTCAGCTTTATTTTGGGCAGTACATGAGGACAAGTGAGGCAAGCTATTTGTCTGAATCATATATATTCTACGAGGCAATACTGACAAGGGAGTATTTCAAAGAAGGCTTGTATCAGGATATCAATCTTGCGAGCAAGCAGTTGAGGTTTCTTGCTCGGTTTTTGACAGTCTGTTTGGTGTTTAATCGGCGAGAAGTGGTGTATCAGCTGGTGAATCAGCTGAAGATGTTGCTTGACGAGTGCAAGAGGACATTCCAGGTTCTTTTCATGAGTCACATGTTTATAAGTTTATATAAATGTACACGTGCATGTGTTTCTGATTCTGTGCACCTATACAAATATCATATATATTGCACGCATACATGCTGTCATGTATATCTGTATATATTACATGGATGTTCTTGTTTCCAGATTTGTGTAGGGTTCATCAGGTATTGCTAGGTCATAAATATAGTGAGAACTGAGAAATAAGAATTGAATATTATATAAATTGTATATAAAAATTGCAAGTTATCAACACAACACAAGAAAGTTGAGAGAAATGTAAAAAAATTTGTGGTTAAATGCCATTATTTATAGAAGAAGAAAAGAAAAAAAAACAAAATATACGGACCAAAACGGTCACTGAAAAAATTCAGCGACCGTTAACGGTCAAAAAAAAGAAAAATAATAAATGGGGGACTGAAACGATCACTGACAAAAGTCTGTGACCGTTTGATAAAGTGACCGAAACGGTCACATTTTAAAAAATGTGACCGTTTCGGTCACATTTAACACGAGGGCTTGCCGCGAGCGGCTCGTTTTTTGCTCGGCTCGCCCACTAAACCTGCCCGTTTGGCTCGCGCTCGCGCTCGTGTTTTTATGAGCCCGAACTGCCCACGAGCTCCATTTTCGCGAGCTAAGCGGGTGAGCCGACGAGCTGCTCGGCCCATTTGCCACCCCTAATTAAACGGTCACATATAGTTACAGCAAAAATAAGTTTGATCACAACTAGTTACATAAAACACAGGCATAGACATGAACAATAAATCTGGTCACAGATAAATTTCAAGAGATTTTTCTATAGTAGAGTGTAGAGAGAGAATTTTTTTTCTTCAATTTTTTGAGATTTTTCTATCATCGGAGTTGGAGAAGTTGACGGAACGATCATCGGAATAGTCGTCGAAGCGTCCATCGAAGCAATCGTCAAAATCGATGGCCATCTCCAGTGGAGAGGTAGAGGGAATGTGGTGTAGTGGGGTGAAAATAAATAATATATATTATATTACAATTTAATATTTAATAAATTTATTTACCACCTAATTTTTAAAATATTTTAGTGAGTTTGTTATTTATGAAATGTAATATATAGAATCAGGGTTTATGTATTGATCCAAAATTAAATTTGAGGCCCAACCCGTTAAATTAAAAATAATAATATCTAAGATATAGAAAAAAAATTCTAAATAAACACAATAGTAAAGATATGAGTACTTATAATTTATAAACGTCTATTTTATTTACATAAATTGATTCCCATGAACATTTTGTACAAATGAAATATTATTTGACAATAAAGTAAAATTAAGAACATGATGATGAAATGAATAAATCCAAAATAAATTGTAAAAATAAAAATGCTTCATAAATTTACATTTTATTTATACATTGTTTTTTAGAAAAAATTCCTTATATAGATATTAAGAAAAAAATAGAGATTTTCAAGTAATTTCAAACTTTAAAAATTTATCCAAATTTAACAAAAAAAATAATCGGATTCAACTTTAATTGGGTCGTAGCCAAAACCGACCAACCCAATCCAAACCAATCAAACTTGGTTGGTTTGTATTGGGTTGGATTTAAACCATTAATGGGATACGACTGGTTTGATTTTAGATTAAACCTACCATGTTAGATTGGGTTTGGCTTGGAAGAGACGTGGCAATGGGCTGAATCGAGCCGGCTCGGCCCTTAAACACATGAGCTCGACTCAGCTCATGAGGTCTATTTTTTTTTTTTTTTGAAAATTTCCAACATTTTTCTTCACATTTTTTACGAGCCCACGACTCGTGGGCTTGTGAACTTTTGGCTCGTGGGCCTTGTAAGCTCAACAAGTCGAGCTTTGCTCGACTAGTTGAATCCCACTCTTGCTCGACTCGTGACGAGTCCGAACCGAGTTTGATATCTCTAGGTTGGAAAAAAATCAACTTAACCCAACCCATGCCCACTCCTATCGTCGAGGACCCTTGCTGATTAAATTATTTAATATTACTTCACTCTTCTTAAGTATTCAATTCAATCTTTCACTTCCTTGTTAAAAAATATTTTAAAATGCTTCTAAACTATGACAGAGAGAAAAACATTGATTCAATCAAATTGGAAATACTATAGTGATTTTAATAATACTTTGCAAAGTTGAAATGATTTTAAAATTAAATTTTTAATTTTTGTGGGGCCTCGAGTATCAAAACCCGACCCTAGGGACTGTGGTGCTCAAATCTTTCAGATCAAATTATCGAGGTCAGCATAACAAGCTTCGACCTATTTGTTTATTTCCATACCAACCATTATATTGGGTTGGACTACGAATTAACTAGTCCAGCTGTAACGACCCGGACCTCTCGCCCAAACCGTTATCTTACGTATTGTCCGTTTCGGGTGGGCCTTGCGCCCACTTACCCTTCATGGCTTTCTATCGCGTTCCCCAGGATTCGAACTCTTAAATCTCTCTTATGTAGAGGTCAAGAGTTCGAATTCTGGGGGACGCGATAGAAAGCCGTGAGGGGTAAGTGGGCGCAAGGCCCACCCGAAGCGGACAGTACATAAGATAACGGCTTGGACGAGAGGTCCGGGTCGTTACAAAAAAAATGCGCATTTTTTTGTAACGACCTGGACCTCTCGCCCAAGCCGTTAGCTTTACGAATGGTACCAGGATTCAACTTAAGTCTCTTTTATATAGAGGTCAAGAGTTCGAATCCTGGGGAATGCGAAAGAAAGCCGTAAAGGATAAGTGGGAGCAAGGCCCACCCAAAGTGGATAATACGTAAAGCTAACGGCTTGGGCGAGAAGTCCGGATCGTTACACCAGCTATCAGTACACACTAATTCTTAGGAATAATGTTATTTGCAGTCGCTCACCATCGTAGTCATTCTATATGACATACATGTAACAATTAATGATTTAATACATTAATGTAATAGTTTTTTATTACCGTATGCAACAAATTACTAATCGACACATGTATATTATGTAGGATGATCGTAGTAGTGAGCGACTGAAAATAATATTGTTCAAACTCCCATACATTTTGACACCAAACTTACAATTATGCATAAAGCTGTGCATGGTCCGGTTCGGTTCTTTTTAGAACCGAACTGAACCAAAGAATTGAGGTATTTAGTAAGTAAAATCATCGGGTCCAAATATAATTATGGAACCGAACCCGAACGTTTCCATTCGGTCCTGTTCCACTTCGTACCATAATTACATTTTTTAACATTTACAACAACATCATATAAATACAACTAATAACATATTTAATCATAACTTTTACAAATTAACGATGTCCAATTCAAAAATATATAAATAACAAGTTGTCTAATAAAATTAATTTACTAACATATACAAATACCAAAAAATAGATACTAATATTAAAATATTGACAATTCATATCAATAATTCATTTGCTTCAGCCTTCAAGTCGACATAAAAAAATTTCTTGAATTAGAAGTCATAGAGATAATATATTTTTAAGTATTACTAATACTTCCGACTATTTGATTTAATCATCAATTGCTTGACTTGCCATAGGAAGAAACTCTATAGAAAAAATTGAAAAAGCAAAATTAACAAACATAAATAAACTAAAAATTGTTCAGCTAAAAAGATTTAATAAGAAAAATAAACCATATATTTTGTTACTATTCTCAATGCTCTTATAGAACTCCGTCTCTTCAATGCAAACTCTATCTTGGGAAATTCTCAAAAGTCTAAATTATTCTATTGGCCAGTTTTGTGTACAAATCAAGACCTCAACTATTTTAAGAGTTAAAGAGCTCCTAAATGGATCAAAAATACTCCTTCCAGTACTAAATGCTGACTCAATCACCTAATTAGTTAAATTGTTAATTTGTTTAGAAAAAAATAAAATAATTTGATTTATTCAATATAAAAAAATTAGAAAGATTCGATTATTCGATTCTTGATTTAGAACCGAATCGTACCCATAGATTTTCGATTCAAATAATCATTCGAATATTTAACTTGAGAAAAATCATCAAGTTCAATTCGATTAGAAAATTTTATCCGACCCTAATTATGCATCCGGTTTAGTCAAACAACAATATTTCCAAATTAACCGACCGTGACCCCAATAAACTGCACTTTTCAATTTTATTTCTTTTGGCTAAACTCTTGCATTTTTCTTAACCCCATTTCTCTTCCCCCATGAAAATTTCAACCCTTCACTCCTACCGTATTTAGCTTCTAGCGTGAAGAAAAAATGGTGTTCTAAGTTAGAGTTTGCCAAATAAAGAATCAAATACTAGAAAAAGAAACACAAATGTCGCTGAATCAGTCCAATATTAGTAACAGCACCAATACTAATGTTTCGGTGATCGAATTGTACTGGAATTTAGTGGCGAAGGCAGACAAGAAATTCTCGAAGATTCGTGATTTGCCCTACTATCAACGCACCCGGTAAGTAAAAATTTACCTCCAAAAGCCTTAATTTTACTTTTGGGGTTTTAGGTTCATTTTGAAGGGGTAAAATAAATTTTTTATTTTTTTTTATTTTCTTGTATAATATCGATAATATGCTTAATTTAGCTAAATGTTTTACTTCTATTATAGTGATGTAATGGGCGGTATAAATGTTGATTACAGAATCAGTATGTAAATTGTATTATATTAAAATGAGATTCTGAGATGGTGGTTAATTTTAATGATTTATTAGATATGATACGTACTTTTACAAAGTTTTCAAGGTCTACACCCAGTTATGGAAGTTTCAACAAGAGAATAGGCAAAAGCTGGTCGAGGCAGGGTTGAAGAGATGGGAGATTGGGGAAATTGCATCTCGGATTGGTCAGCTTTATTTTGGGCAGTACATGAGGACAAGTGAGGCAAGCTATTTGTCTGAATCATATATATTCTACGAGGCAATACTGACAAGGGAGTATTTCAAAGAAGGCTTGTATCAGGATATCAATCTTGCGAGCAAGCAGTTGAGGTTTCTTGCTCGGTTTTTGACAGTCTGTTTGGTGTTTAATCGGCGAGAAGTGGTGTATCAGCTGGTGAATCAGCTGAAGATGTTGCTTGACGAGTGCAAGAGGACATTCCAGGTTCTTTTCATGAGTCACATGTTTATAAGTTTATATAAATGTACACGTGCATGTGTTTCTGATTCTGTGCACCTATACAAATATCATATATATTGCACGCATACATGCTGTCATGTATATCTGTATATATTACATGGATGTTCTTGTTTCCAGATTTGTGTAGGGTTCATCAGGTATTGCTAGGTCATTTAATTTGCTCGCTCTTTTATCAGTAGTGTATGTGCAAACCACTGTGTATGAGCAAACCATTGTCTTGGAACGGGCTACCTGGTGAGGTGAAAGATTTATGGATAAATCTATTGTTACATAATTTTGGGTCCATAAGGGTTTCCATACACTCACATGGGATGGGGCCCATTTGAGAGTGGCCCCCACCCCATGTGAGTGCATGGACACCATTATGGATCCAAAATTATGTGCCCCAAGCACAACCCAAGATTTATCAGTAGTAGTAAGTAGTGTTATAGTGAGGAAAATGCTTACTGCATAGTTTGATAATAACATAACCAGTGGTCTTTGGACACCACAAGGAAAATGCTCAGTATTCTTTCATTAACTAGTATCCACTAGTGAAACTACAAGCCTCATTCATGATTGACAATACAATAAATGGTCAATGTGTAATTTTTGCAACTGGTTTTTTCTGACCCGACTGGTGTATGAGCAACAGCCTTGTTCTTTAGAAAATATTTGTATTTTTTTGACTAAATTTGACTGTTGAATTTTGTGCATTGGCAGTTTATTCTGCATAGAAATAACATTTTAGTGTTCAAGGCATTTAAGTTCATGACAGCATTGAGCGGCAACCTTTGTTACATGGACATTGGTGCAGGTCTTGGCTGCTGGCATGCATCAAATGCCTGTTTTATATATTAGAATAGAAAAACATCAAAAGATCCTGCTTGGATATGTTGTTCAATTACATAAATGCATAATGATAGCATATAAAAAACAGTGAAACAAACAAAGCTGAAAACATAACAAGAAGATAAAATGAAACTAATTTTTTTATTGCTAAATTCATTACAAATTCAATAATAAGCCGCAAACACAGTGAGAGAGAAGTTGAGGCAACCTGTTAAGGGACACCAACTGGAGAAACAGTAATTTAAGAAACTCCAACTTGAAATTGGCAAATGGGTCAGCACCATAGCAGAGCAATCCAAATCCAAAGAAGCAAGACAAATGATCCACAAACGAACACAATATTGGCTTTGATTAGAGAAAGAAAACACTTGGAGGCAAATGGCCCACAAAAGAACACAGTATTGGCTTCGATTTTAGAGAAAAACACTTGATTGAATAGCAAAACAATTCATTTATATAATTTCTCAAATCCTCGACCCTCGGTGTTTTTCTTACATGAGCTTTACGGTGTTTCCAAATGAAGGAAAACACACACACAGATAATGCATATTGCAGAGGTTTCTACCCAATTATCTTAGTTGCTCTGAAATACATGAAAATGGGGTTGGTGGCCGTGGGAAAGGGGTTTGGTGGTGGTCGTAATTGGATTGGGGTGGGGTGGGGTAAGGCCATGCGGAAGGACACTGAATTTTTTTTCCTTTTCTTTTTGTTTGTTTAACAACGTTTTTTTCTTTTTGAATTTTTGGTTTTTGATCTTTATCATTTTAATAGCTAATTTGCATAATAGTATTTTTAAAAAAATGGTCAAAGTAATGGATTCCGTCACGTAGGGATTCAATTTCACATGATTGAATGGGTTGGGGAGTCAAAACATTAATTTTAAAGGTTGGAGAGCCGAGTCCACATTTCATGGAAGGTTAGGGAGCCCAACACTAATTTTTCCATATTAGTGTCCTGTTTTAAATGAAGAACAATTTATTCTGACGTGACTTGTAATTGTCTGATTTTTGAAGGATTTTAAAATTTTGACCTTTTTTATTGAAAGAATCATGCCCTGCCCTTGTCAAATAAAGTATGGGGAGCGAGCTGGAAGAGGAAAGGCAAAAATCTGCAAAATAAAATTCTGGAAAAATAAGGGTAGATTACTGAATAATTGACTAAATAAAGAAGGCAACTTATAAGAACTAGAAAAGATTAGTTTTCATTTTCTTTCACTACTTCGGTCTTTCTTAAAAAATTTCTCTATAGCTGAATGACTTCCAAAATGGTCTTGTTTCCAGGAAACTGACTTCAAAGAGTGGAAGCTGGTAATTCAGGAAATAGTAAAATTTCTAAAAGCTGACACAGCTTTTATGAACATCAGGCCTTTGAGATATAGTGTTGTATTGGATCTTCAACCAAATAGTCTCCCACATGTGGACGCACCAAGAAAGCTTAAACTAAGAGATGCATTGTTATGCAGTTATCATCCTAATGAGGTTTGTATTGTTCGTTGCTTATTATTGTTAAAACTGAAAGCATTAATAAAAGATCTAAGTCTTTAATTTATGGTTCAATGGTCTAAATTAGCTCTTTTATGGCACTTGTTGAAGGTGATATTAATTTTTGGGTAGACTTGTCAAACTGAGCATGTAATGTGTTCTTCTTTGTTGTTGATCTCTTGATCAGGTCAAGTTTTCAGAACTCACCCTTGATACTTTCAGAATGCTACAATGCTTGGAGTGGGAACCCAGTGGTTTATTTTACCAGACAAACATGGATGCATCAAGTGACAATGTAACAAATGCTAGTCAAAATGGGACTCCGGGGTCCAATCGTGTAAATCAAGATATAACGGATCCTACTTTGGCGCCTAACCCTCGAAAAGCCGTCTTATATCGTCCATCTGTTACCCATTTCATGGCTGTGAGTATTCACTATCTGCAAAGTTTTCCTTTTGGTACTGTGAATTGGATCTGGATTTTATGTAGTGATACCATGCAAATACCACTAAATTTATTAAAGTAGAACGTGCAAATCTTTTTACCTCTGGGTGTTACTGGCAGAGATAAATTAGAGGGTTAGTGCGCGATGAAGTGGAAAAAAATGGTAAAAAAATAACTTCTGCCAGTGGGCAGCACTTCATGCAGATAATCCCATATGTGATGTCTACTCTAAGTTTGTTTATGGCAGTACCATTATCTTGTGACACTGACACTATTGTGGCATGTAAAATGCTTGCATAGATGCTTACCTTTTTGGGGCATAATTGGGTTCGGCTGAACCACCCCATCTAAAAAGTTTGGTTGTGAGAGAGGGTTCAAATTTATTTATTTAAATATATCTTCAACACACCTGCATGCTGAATTCATTTTAAACCCAAGGTCTAACACATGCACAATTTTTATAAATGGGAAAACATGATTTGAATTCAGAACTTTTGCCAGCTATCAGTGCTATGATTCCATTTGAATCACTTCATCTAAAAGTTTAAACTATTAGAGAATGTGATAGGATCCTGATTGCTTCTGTTGAATTCTGCTGCTGATGAATAGAGTCGATGCTGTCGCTGCTCTTGTCTAGACTTGTGAAGCTGTTGATGAACCTGTCTTGTGGGTAATTATTGGATCTAGTTTAGGTAGTCCATATGGTGGCTGATTTATGTAATAGAAAGTGCAGATGTAATTGACGAAATAAGCAGTACGAATTAGCTGGGAAGGATGGATTGTGAACAAGGAATTACTGTACCGTTTATTCAAATGAAATGAAGAACAAAGTAAATGAAATGACAATTCCCAAGGTAGTCGAGAGGCCTTGGTCTCTCCCTAGTTTTCTCAAGCTTTCCTAAATGATGTCCCAACTTTCCCCCCATTACATTTATAGAGAATTTACTAGTTTGTTATTACAATTCTACCATTTTGCTAACTAACTATGAAATTCTCTAGAATAGTTGTATTGAAATATTGGAGGTGGGGGTCTATCATTACCCGCCGTCCCAAAATCCACATTGTCCTCAAGGTGGAAGTGTGATTCAACGTTAAAATTCGGAATTTCATGAAACTGCATCATTTCTTTGATAAGAATTCCCACCATGCCAAATGCCAAAATGCGATATTTTAGTCCACATGCCGTTAAGAAGTTCTTGTGCTGACCGCCACCACTTAGAATGTTATTCATGCAAATCCCATAACTGGTAGTAGCTCTTTGCCGACTTTCCAATTTTTGAACCCGATGAGTTGTAAACACATTATAGCTAGCTGCACCATCGGTTAATAATATCATAAGTTCACAACCAATCTGCCCCTGAAACTTCATCCTCGGAAGCTCCATTTTTTTTTTTCATCTTCGTTTTCCACCTCTATGAAGCACTTCCTCTAAATCATCAGTTACCTCCAACATTTGCAACCTCTGATTTTCACAGTTATGGTCTACTGGCTTTTCCTTGTCACAATGAAGGCATAAACCATATTCCCTCCTTTTTCAAAGCTCTGAAACAGTAAGTTGATTTGGTGGTTGGGATTGCTTTGGTTTATCGAATTTTGGAGTAATGAAAACTGATCTTGGGATTGAAACTGAAGGTGAACTTTGATTAACAGGCAGGTTGTGTGTGGACTGGGAAATAAAGGCGTTGTGGGCTTGGGTTATCCATATTAATTTTAGATCTAGATGGGCCAAAGTTTAACTGGGCCTGCTTCATTTGGGCCATTCTCACTAATTCATTCTTATCTGGATATGGGACCTGCCTCGAGGATTCATTTTGATCTTCAACTCCTTGGTCCAACTTCAAATCATAGCCCATAGGTTTTTTCTATGGAAGTCAGCCTTAATTTCAAGCCCAGTCCTTTCCTGTTTCTTCATCATGGTCTCTATATCATGCATTTGGAACCCCTCCACGCAATATTCCAACTTCTTCCCTTCCGACGATGACAGTGGAGGCTCGGAGGGTTGACATTGGTGTTCTTTCATGGCTGTCTCTGAGCTCCCCAATTTCGAATGCTTCGAGGCTGGAATTTCTTTATCACCGGAGACTTCATCCTTATCCAACGAACTCAGCCCAAAAATACTCCATCTGAGATCGTCGACCACGGTGCTTATATGCTTTTTATAAATCTCCGATTTTCTCTGATGGTAGATTTCTCATGGCCGTTGCGGTTCTCCATTCTTCTTGAATCCTCCTGGCTACTCCATCCAATTGTGCTCTCTCCCACTTTGTTGATTTTGACTGAAATTTCCAAAAAGCTGTGTGCATCTTCTGCGTGATGCTCGATTGTAATCTTCTCCCTCCACCGGTGATATAATCGTTTTCCCAATTGCAGCAGATCGGGGCTAAAAGCAAGAATAATGTGATGGTTTTTAGGGTGGATTACGTAGGTTAATTGAGTATGAAAAGGGGCTGGATGAGAGTGTATAAGTGGGCTAGAAGCTGGATTTAAGTGGTTTGGGCTACTGTAATTCATTTGGGCCTGCCATACTAACTCATTCCTGTCTTCCACGTGTTAGGCCAACTCCATACCATAGTCCACCCCTCTCTGCTTCAGTAATTCCTTTTTGTTTCTGCTGTCCCGAGTCAGATTCTCCAGTTTCAGCCCATTACCAGAGAAATCCCCCCCCCCCCCCCCCCCCCCCCCGGCCCCCTCCCCCCCCCCCCCCCCGCANNNCCCAATCGAGCTCAGGCATCTTCTCCCCCTCCGGCAATAGTAATGGAGAGATTTCAGTTGACCTCCCGTCTCTGATGGTTATCTCAGGCCGATCCCCGCGCACTCTATTCACCCCGATTTCATCAGATCGATGTGGATATGCGTGGGTAATTCCTGATGAAGTGGTGACCTCCTTTTCCTTCCTAGCCGGCTCCTTCCGGCGGTCCGTGCTATGGCTATTTACTCCAACTTCCTTCAATTTTGGGGGGCTCTCGGAAGCGATGGTGAGTTCCGGATCCACGTTGTTTCCGGTCAAATTAAGTGCAATTCCCTTTTCCTTCCTACCGCTCTCGTGACTTTCCCTTTTCTGCAATTCGAATTTCTCCTCCTCCTCCGGTGATGACAGTTCCTTTGTGCAATGGAATTTTTCCTCCACTAATGGGGACACATGCACTTTACCGGGCTATTCTTCCCCTGCTGTCTTCTGGTTCAACTCATTCTCCTGCTTCCAATTTGAAAATTCGCCAACGGAGATCTGCTTCATGGGAAATTGAACCATTATCCTCACCTTCAATTATACCCAGGTTTCTATTGGACAGCTATCGTCTATCTCTTGGAACCATGCCCAAGCCTCTCTATAAAAGCAAGCAACTGCGGCTTCTACCTTTTTCCTCTCTGATAAGCTGTGATTCTTGTCTAGGCATCGCATCGCCTCAATCAGCCACGAATCTAAATTGTCCCCATAGAATAACGATGTGTTGAGTCGGGTGCATGAATCCAACCCTGAATCATCGTTTTGATCTCCTTCCTATCGCCTTAACCTCTTCTCCAACATACTCATTACCAAGTTTAAACTCTCTTGTACTTCTTTGCTGAACATAGGTTCCCTTTGTCCGAGAATCGAAGGCTTTGATACCAATTTGATAGGATCCTGATTGCTTCTGTTGAATTCTGCTGTTGATGAATAGAGTCGATGCTGCTGTTGCTCCTGTTTGGACCTGTGAAGCTGTTGATGAACCTGTCTTGTGGGTGATTATTGGATCTAGTTAGGTAGTCAATATGGTGGCTGATTTATGTAATGGAAAGTGCAGATGTAATTTAGTATGAATTAGCTGGGAAGGATGGATTGTGAACAAGGAATTATTGTACTGTTTATTCAAATGAAATGAAGAACATAAAGTAAATGAAATGACAATTCCCAAGGCGTTCGGGAGGCCTTGGTCTTTCCCCAGTTTTCTCAATCTTTCCTAAATGATGTCCCAGCTTTCCCCTCATTACATTTATAGAGAATTTACTAGTTTGTTATTACAATTCTACCCTTTTGCTAACTAACTATGGAATTCTCTAGAATAGTGAACTAAGAACTACTTGTATTGGAATATTGGAGGTGGGGGTCTATCAAAAGGAAACACATATTTATTTAAATTTAATCTTCAACACGTTTACTAAATTTATTAGTAAAACTGTCATTTAACAAAGAGATTATTTTTCTTCTTTCTGAACTATATAGATGGGGTGAAAACTTTGAGGGTATGGTGTGTACTTGGTTTTGGATATGCTCTTTCACAGCTTTACCTTTCCGTAAGGCACAGAAACAGAAAAATAATAATAACAATAATAAAAAGGCTTCCTGTAGGCCAAGAATACCTTAAGTTCAAAATAATTATTAGATAAACATATTGTTTTCTGCCCAAACCGTCCCTTGACTTTTACGCTTGTGTTTAGGTTTTAGGGACAGTGTGTGAGGAGCTCGCTCCTGATGGAATTCTCCTAATATATCTATCAGCTTCAGGTAATGGAAATTATACTTTTCATTTCTTTAAGCTGAGTTTATGTTTAATTCGTTTTGTCGGACATGATGAACACACCATTGACTATGCTCCAGGAAGAAGTGCACATACTCTGTCGTCTCCATCTCGTGTTGCGCATTCTATTGGCTCTGGCTTTCAATTCCATTCCATCAACTCTGAATCTACCTCTGCACATCCGACTAGCTTTGGCGGTGATAGTGCTGATCTTCATTCTGGTCAGATTGCTGACTGCTTACATATAGGGGCTCGTGGAAATGGAGGTAGTAAATCACTATTTTCGTTATGTCTATGCACTGAAGGATGTATATGCTAGGGCATAATATGTTTTTTTTTTTTTTTTTTTTTTTTTCAGGCATGAACTGCATATATCCCTGTGACTTATTGCCCTTCACAAGAAGGCCTCTTTTTCTAATAATTGACAGCGACAGTAGTCAAGCATTCAAGGCAAGTATCTTAGCAATTCCAACTTCAGTTCATTAGTCACTAGTTTCATTTATAATGGACTATAACATGACAAGCAGCATTCCACGTGATTACTTATTGACCGAAAAATTGCTTGCAAGAAGGATCCAGTATGCTTTTATGTTATAGAAAGTTGTACATGGATAGTTTCTTTAGCCAAACCAACTCTATTTCAGCGAACTTTTTCCAATATCTTATTTTATTTTACTTTGGTAACATAAGATTTTCATATTTTTTTAATTTTTGTATCATATTAATTACTGCAATTAAAAGGTTTCTATGTCAGAACTATTTCAATGAACCCTTTGCAGTTTTATGTATGAATTTCAGTTTCTGCTTAAGATTGGTTTAGCACTCCCTTCCATATGGAAGGTTTCAACTTCTGGATAATATTTCTTGATGCATGCAATATGGACAGGCTATTAGTGGCACAGAAAAAGGAGAACGAATTGCCATGCTCCTATCTCCAGCCACATCAATGCCTATTCCTGCTATAGACTCCACTCGTCAGCCTAGTGGAAGCTCATTCACCAGTTTTCTCACAGCTCCTTTACAGTCTTTCATTCTTTTGCTTGGATTTAGTGGCTCTGATGTTGAGACGGTGCGGTGGTTATTACTGCTGCAAGGTAACATTATTTTTAACTATTTGTTGGCTTAAAAATGTACTGTGGCTGCAGGACATGTACAATAAGGCTGAGAAGCTGCTTTACTCATCATTAAATCAATGGGGGTTGTCATTAGCTTCATCTGACAATCTTGATCCTGTTTGGGCTCAAATTTTGAGTGATCCATTTCTACGGCGACTACTTTTAAGGTATTATGCTTATCCAATGTAAATGAAAAGTTACTGGCTATATATAGCTCTAAGTGTCTTCATAGTATAAAGTTTGATATCATTTTAAAATGTTTATAAATTGTGGATGCCATGGCTAAAGTAAGAAATTGATAACCTTGACTTGAGATGAAGCTTTTGTGGACCACTTAAGAGACCCAACAGCCTAATTTTGAGCTGTCCGTGTCAGAAATTTTGTGTTATCTGTCTGAAAGTTGGTGATTGAGTGATGGATCTGATTACTTTCAATTTAAGACTATGCAAAGTGGAGCTTCATTTTTGGATCATTAATGTTGTCCAGTTCTTTTCATTTTTCAATTTTTTTTTTTTTTTGTTGAAATCTTAAAGAACCTCTTTTCATCCTTCACCCCCTTTTGGGCGTGTACTTAACAAGTAAACACAGTTACAAATTTGTATTTCATTTTTTTGTTTCCTTCAGATGAGTAATTGCAATTGTAACATGGAAGGATAACTAGATAAGTCTGGATGTCCTTATATCAGTTCTATTTTCTTGTTTACTTGGGAAAATCCTAGTCCCCGGTGCTCCTTTGTTGTTGAAGCTTTGTGAAGTATTTGATTGATACTGAAATTTTGTAGAGAACAAGAAAATCAAAATTTATGTCAAGCCAGTAACATTTGGAGATGATGACCTTATGGTTTTCTAAATTGCTAAATTCATTTGCATGTCTATCAAAAATACATCCCATACTAGTTGCCATTAGTAAAATTAATCTTGTTGAATTCATAAGGTACTTGTAATATCCGAGTTTGGTTATCAAAATAGGGTGAAAGTTCAATGAAGTAACCGATGGTTATAGTGGTTACCTGTCTTGATGTTTGGTTGTGCACACAGAGAAGGTCCCTGGCTTCTCAGTTTCTCTTTTGGATCACCCATCCATATTACTTAGCTCTTAACAAGGAATTCCTAGTTCTTTGCCTATTCACTAAAGTAGAGAGCATATTGAAGATTGGTAGGGGGCAGGCTGCTTTATGAATATAAATTGAACTGACGTTAGCACAAGGCGGACTTATTTTAACTCGAATCATTATAATATAAACTAGCAGCTTGTTTGAGCCCCATTTTTTGGAAAAGAATGAATTTTTGAATAGTGTATTGATGGAAAATGTGTGGTTAAAAAATAAGGAAAAGTTTTGGATTTGCGTGTAATATTATTTTATTGAATAATGTGTGTTTGAAATAATGTCAAAATACTGTTTAAAAATGAATTTTTCAAAAGGAATGGGGCTCAAACAAGGGCTAGGTAATGATGGTGGGGCAGCTGGTTTTCATCTACAAGAGTTCTAAACAAATAACCTAGAATAATCGGGCTGATGTATGATGAACTTTTTAACGTGTGGTTACATTCTTTACTTTCTTTATGTGCTTAGTAGAACTATATCCCAGCATTTTATGTCTTCTTTGTCATTTGAGGACAACTTCCTCCAGATTGAAACTATGCAACTTCATCAAAATGTCATGGAATTTTGTATGTATCTTTCTCATCATTGACTTAAGTTGACGAGTAGTTTTGTGGAAATTCTATAGTATTTTATTTAGGAATTATGCCGAGACTGAATACTCCATTCAACCATTCTAATCTTGCAGATTTGTATTTTGTCGGGCTGTACTGTCCTTGTATGTTCCATCTTCCGGCAGGATAGAATTTCTTCCCGAGTGTGTACCTTGTCTTCCAGACGATGTGTCACCAACAAGTGCCAAATGTCAAGCATCAGTTTCGCAGTTAGCTGACATCATTGGTGCAAGAGATAAGTTCATATTTTCACAAGAAACCCGTACTTCCTGACGACTAGCACACTAAGAAGTTCCATCCTATTGTTATCCGGATTCATTTAAATAGATTAAACAATGTAAAGATTGTGAGAAATGTCGCTTCCGTTTGATTATTTATCTGATTTTAGTGTTTTAATATTTGTTAGAGGATATGGTTTGAGATGGCTTTTGACAAATGCCAATGGAAAAATGTGTTTGGGTATGGTTATGATTATCAGATAACTATAGTGAACAGAGGGATAGCAAGGAGATACTTATACAGAACTTCACACCGAAGACTAGAAATGTCTACTGAATAATGCTATTCATTAGTTGTGTTGATCATCGGCATCTATTGTAGCAGTGAGGCGTAAACAATGCTGATGAATAGCAATAATCATTTTTATTAGCCTAGCCACCAAACTAGAAAGACTAGTCTTATCTTAGTTAGCTCGTCGTCTTACCTGGTAAGTCAAAACGGCATAGCCATGCCCTTATGCTAGTTAGCTTATGTTACACATCAATTAATTGGTTGATGTTTATGGGGTGTACTTAATTGAGATTTTTGAAGATTTTGATGCACTCTTTTTAAATGATACTTCGGTAAATTTCGTGGATTTTTTTATAAATTTGTATGATATTAGTGGAAGTCTTTCATATACTTCTATGGGCTTTCATTTTAAAATTTTTATAGATTTTAGAATACTGTAATTTGAAATAAATATCACAACAACCGTGTGAAAGTCTTACATAGGAGATGTTGGTTTCCACAATTCCCCTTCTCCTTTTCATACCCCTTTCCATATAATAAAAAAATTAGAAAAATAAAAATTTAAGAACTTAATTAAAGAAATAATAATCAATGAAAAATAAATTTAATATTCAGTATTATTAATATAATATACCTTTAAAGAATAAATAAAAAATCAGTATGTTTAAATTTAATTATAATTTTGTTGATATAAAATTTTATAATTAAAGAAATAATAATCAATGAAAAATAAATTTAATATTCAGTATTATTTATATAATATACCTTCAAAGAATAAATAAAAAATCAATATATTTAAATTTAATTATAATTTTGTCCATATAAAATTTTATAATTTAATTATAAATAGATATTTTTTTTCAAAAAATTGAATGACAAAATAAAAATAAAAACAAAAGTTATACGAATATAATTTAATGTTTTCTTAGAAAATATAGATAAATAATAAGTGAGAGAAAAAATAGAAATAAATATAATTAATAGAAAAAAAATAAATTTTATTCAATGTTTGTAGAAGGGAAAATAAGCCCCTGCTTGATCCCCATTACTTGAAAATGAAAATGGGGGGAATAGTATTTTTTAGAAAAATGAGTGGTTGAAAAAGAAGGAAAAATTTTCGATTTACGTGTAATATTATTTTATGAAAAATTGTGTGATTAAAAATAGGAGAGAGAAAAATGTAATGTAATTTAATTTAATGGGGATCAAACAAGAACTAAAAGAGAATTATTAAAAAGTATTAATTTCTTTCTTCTTCTTTTTGTGAAAGTGTCCAAAAATCTTGTGATTAATGAGAAACAAATTTTGAGATTTTATTTTAGAACTTTTCTTTTAAAAGTTAGTACCTTTGACGCTTTACTAAAAGTAATTAAAATTTGAATACCCCAACATTTGTGAAGGCGTGTAAAAAGTTTTAATTGAATATGTTGTGACTCATAGAAACTTTTATAAAGTTTATAAAAGTTTCAATTGAATTTTCAAATACTTTCATATAGTTTTAAAAAGTCTACATTGAATGTTCATAAACTTTCTAAATCCAAAAAAATCATTAAAAATTTCAATTGAATACATCATATCCTTAAGACCCACTTGAGCAACGGTTACCTTCATATATAAGAATTGGGCCATTTACAGTCCATTTAAAATTAAGGGTAATTTAGACTTTCTACATCTTCGAGTGTGTTATTAGAGATGGAGGCTGCCAATTTATGAATAAGATTGTCAAAAAAAATAATGGCCTATATTTGGTGGGGATTAAAATTAGTCTTTTAATAAATTTTGATAAAAATTAATGAAAGGTGTGGTTGAGAAATTATGAGTTTTATAAATATGTGATTAAATTAAATTATTAATTTTGATTTAAATTAAAAATTGAATTTTAAATATTTATCAAATTGGGTCAAGGTTAGAGAAATAGAAGAGAGATGGGTTAAAATTTGGGGACAGTGGCCTCATTTTACCCGAAATAATGATTTACCCCACTCAGTATAGACTCCCTCGCGTAAATCAGTGAAGCGCTGAAACCCCAATTTGATTTTTTCTTTTTATTTTTTTGATTTGATTTGTATTTCCGTCCCTCTCACTTTCCTCTGCATTGATTCACCATAAAACAGAACAATCTGCAATTGAGCTATTGAAAATAAGAAAAAGGTACCGAATCATATATGATATATATTATTCGATGATGTTTTTGGTCGTTTTGAAGTTTTCTCCTCCTACTATCCCCCAGGAATTTTATTTTCGAAATGTTATTTGAGAATTTAATTTTAGTAGCTTCAATTTACAGAAGAATATGCTTAAAACCCAAATTACAAAAGAACACGCTCATGAAACCAACAATGTTGAAAAATCGGCAGATTAGCTATAGAAAAAATGTGGCATTCTCATGCAATTCCTCATCTCCACAAAAACCAGCCATAATCTCCAAAATCGAGCTGTCTTCGTTCCAAAATCTCTAGGTTCTGCCATCTTCAACAATTTCAGGCAATCTCTAGGTCCGGCCATAATCTTTAAAATCGAGCTGCCAAATTCACTGGGTTCCGCTATTTTTCACCAATTTCGGGAAATTTGATATACACACGAATTTCACAATTCCTTCCTAATTGGTTGTTTTGATCTTGGGTTGGAATTGAAGTTCATACGCATATGTCAGTTATTGTTTGATACTAGAACTTTGAATTTTACCTTTTTGTCGTTAATTTCACATGAAACATTTTGTTGGTCTTTGAATTTTAATTTCTAATTAGTTTTGGTTCAATATGGTGAACATTGGCTAATTTGACCTCAACAAATAGTCTGAATGTTCATATGATTCTGTGCAAATGTATGTTTTCTCATAAGCTCTGTTACCATAGTTTTTTTTTTTTTTTTTTAAATTTTGCTATTATTGATTGTTTCCAGTTAAGTTGTATTTTGTTAATTACGTATAACAGTAACATGCTTTATTACTGCCTGTACATCGTGTGTTTTGATCATGTGATGGGAAATGTTTTATTTCAGAACTCTTGTACAACCTTGGATAATGTAATGGGGTGAGTAACTGTATGTTATGGAGGCTTATTATCATGTTTTCGACAAATTAATTCCTTGTAAGGACATAATTTTAATCTCAGAAATCGGTAACATGTTGTGTTACTGTCTGTTTGGAGGGTGATAATCAAAAGTCATGTAATTTAATCTCAGATAAGGTAACGTGGTATGTTAATGCATGTTTTGGAGTCTTTTTATCATGTTGTAGATATTGTTCTATGTTGAATTCTGCTGCCCATTAATAGCTGCTCTTTTATGTTTATTTTTTGCAGGTATGGATTACACTAACGTCTTCTTACATTATGGTGGCAAATGGGCACAGAACAATGAGTACACCAATTTTATGACAGCTGGAATCCTAGTGCCTCGTGGGTGCACATATGGCATGCTTGTGGAGATGATATATTCGGAATTGGAATTGGATCGAACAATGACGGAGATAACAATTAAGTATCAAGTGAAAGAAGACGTACCTCTGATGAAGATTAAATCAGATAACAACGTCATGTTCTACTTGGAGCTCAAAAGAAAGGACCAGGGAGTTGCAACATTTCCCTTGTGCATCGATACTTCACCAGTAACAGAAAATAACAGATCCGATACTAATCATGAAGTGCAACATTTGGACCATGATGGTGCTGTCACAGGGTTGGAGATGCTCAAGTCACAACCACCTAAAAGATGTTATTCGACGTTCAAGGCCCCTACAAGGTTACCAACTGTTGAAGACATTGCTTTTGAAGTTTCTCAACCCATACCTGATGTTAACGAAATGGTTATGGAAGCTGAAACTAGTGTGATTTCGCATCCAACTGCTGATAGAATTGAAAAAGGTCAGATTTTCAGCAATAAAAAGGTGATGATGAAAAGTATTGCATTGTATGCCATAGAGAACCGCTTTCAATTCAGGGTTAAAAGATCAGATAAGAAGGAGTATGTCGTGAAATGCGTGGATGCCAATTGTCAATGGTCTTTTATGGCTTCGAAGGTGAGGAAAACAGACGAGTTTAAGATAAGGTACATTAGGAATGAACATACGTGTTCGTTAGATGTGATATTAAGAGATCACCGTCAAGCATCAAGTTCAGTGGTAGCGAGTTGCATCATGTATAAATACACCTCCGCTAAGACTAAATACACTCCAGGTGATATAATAAATGATATGATGAATGAGTATGGGGTGTCATTGAGTTACGGAAAAGCCTGGAGGGCCCAGGAGCAAGCAAATGTGGAGCTAAGAGGTGATCCAGAAGAATCCTATGGAAAGCTTCCGACTTACATGTACAGGTTGGAAGTAACAAATCAGGGATCAGTTACAGGACTAGAGACTGATTCGAGCAATATGTTCAAGTATGCTTTTGTGGCTTTAGGAGCTTCTTTGCAAGGATGGGGGTATTGTAGACCCATAATTGCAATTGATGGTACCTCCTTGAAGGGATATTATGGTGGTATACTATTTACGGCATATACCCAAGATGCCAACAACAATATTTATGTACTTGCTTTTGGAGTTGGTGACTCTCAGAACGATAATTCATGGGAATGGTTCCTAACAATGATGAAAGCATCTTATGGGGAACGGGAAAGTTTGTGTTTTGTATCGGATACTCACCCAAGCATAGAGAATGCAATTAGGAAGGTATATCCAAATGCCATGCATGCATTTGGTTCCTACCATCTGTTGCGTAACTTGAAGACAACTTTTGACATAAGTGGGAAAAACATGACAGATCCCTTCAATGCAGCTGCTAGAGCCTACACGACAGCTGAATTTGAGCACCAAATGACACAGCTTGATGAGATCCACACAGGAATCCGGCCATATTTGGTGACTTTTGATGTTTATTACAGCAACATGATTCCTTCAAGAATTATAAATAATGGTTTAACGTATAATTGTTCTTCATGTAGGATAAGATCGGATATCATAGGTGGTCAAGAGCCTACATGACAAATAATAGGTTTTCTGTTATGACGTCAAACATAGTTGAGTCAGTGAAGGCGATTACAAAATCAGCCAAGACTTTCCCTATAGAATACCTGCTGGAATTCTTAAGGTGCATTCTCCAAAATTGGTTTTGCAAGAATCGGGATGATGCACACAAAACTTCCACAAATCTTGCATCAAAATATGAATGTATGTTGCAGGAAAGGTCAAGCAAGTCAGCGAAAATAAAGGTAACAACGCAAACCTGCTTAAAATAAAAAATGACATAATATGTTACTTCATTTATAAAAGGTAATGTGCAATGAATTTTTAGAAATGTATAACAGAACATGATTGCCTACATTGTAATTGTTGTTATATGAACGCTGAAGATATTTATGTGCTCATTTTCTATTTTCTATATTCTTGTACTGTCATTGTAAGTTGCTGCTTTAGCAAGTAACAAAACCTTTACTTGTATATAAAACAGATGTTCATAGTAACATATTCTTGCATTGTTCACACAGGTTTCTGCATCAAGTGAAGCGATTTACGATGTTAGTGATGCCACAACCTCCCATTTAGTGAACATTCAAGAACGGACTTGCTCGTGCAACAGATTTCAGATGGATGAGATCCCATGCGTACATGCACTGGCAGTTATTACAGAAAGAAACCTCAACTCCTACGACTATTGCTCCAAATACTACACAAAGAAGTCGTACATTGAAGCATACAAGGGGACCATTTTTCCACTTGGGAACCGTGATGATTGGATTGTACCAGATGATATCGGTTCAAGGATTGTGTTGCCTCCTATACCAAAAAGAAAATCCGAAATGTCTGAAGAAAAGAGAGTACCATCAAGAAGAGAAAGAAGACAAGTAACAAAATGTGGGGGATGTGGGGCGCTTGGGCATAATCGAAGAACATGCAATAACCAGACGCCATTGCATCCAAAGAGAAAAAGGAAACTGATGTCCGAAGACTTGTAAAGATTGTGAGAAGTCACTCTATAAGAAGTATGAGCTGTTTTTTTTGCTGTATGCCATGTTTTTTTGGATAACTATTTTGAACGGTATCAAAAGTTTGAAGAATCGAATAGTGATAGCAAGGAAACACTTGTAAAGAATGTCACAGGCCATTGCCGAAGTTATCTTTTCTTTCTCATCTTTCCTCTTCGGATTTGGCATTTCATGTCGTTTTTTGCTGGGAAAAGTTTATCTTCGTCCACGCCTTCAATATAGTTTTCCGACATATTGTCTTATTTCTGTCATCATATGAGCATGGCAAAATTTTCAAGGTTAAGATATGCAGCTGTATTGAATGTTCTGAAACAAAGTGCTTCCGAAAATTACCATGAAAAATTTATCGAATTACAACTGAAAAAATAAGCAACTAAGAGTCATAAAAATATAATTTTTCACAAAATATTTTCAACACATTCTTCCGCGTGCAAGCCACACGAGTTCGTATTATTCATAAGTTTTACTTTAACACTTCATGAGTGACAACCAAATTCGAAAATAAGAATTGAACCACTTCCTCTAAAAGATTAGACTATTAAAATAGAGTGTTCTTTAGTTATTTATAATAAATCTTCCACAAAATCTAAGATGTAATTACATGGAGATTGTCACTTTTAGAGTATGTGTAATGTATCCATCATGTTTTGTGTTCGAAATTATGTCCATTTTTTTCAAATTTTTTGTCGAGTCTTCTAAAAGCACATTTTCTTTTCAAAAACGTTATCAAATTCTCTATCATTATTGTGCATGAATTTCCAACTATCCAGACATCGAATCTCAACAAGCTGAACAAAGTTGATGAGAATTTCGATCAGTTTAACATCTGTATGACACAAATTATTTGAAAATTATTATTTATCAAACTCATTTTCAATCACATTCTTTCAGTATAGGGCTTGTTTGAGCCACATTATTTTCAAAAAAAAAAAGGGGGCATTCTTCAATAATGATTTGATATCATTTCAACCACACATTCTTAAATAAATAAATATTATCCGCAAATCTAAAATTTTTCATTATTTTTTAACCACACATTTTCCATTGATTTGACTTGAAAAATGCATTTTTGGGTATAATATTTTTAGTAGAAATTACACCCATCCTATTTTTAAATATTGGTATTCTAAAAAAAAAGAAAAAGAAAAAGAAAAAAAAAAGAGGTTTCACTATTCACAAATCAGATCTTTTGTATTTCATTTTTTAAATATTAATATTAATATTAATATTAATACTACAAAATTAAATTAATCTACCCACCCATATATCTCAACCCAATTTCATTCCCGTCTCTCTCTTTTTCCTCCCCTACCGTACACCTTCCTAGTCATTATCTAGTGACCACCGTACGCAGTTCGACAACCACTACATGCAGTATTGATGTGTGGCTAGCAGCGACGATGGAGTTGCTTACTGATCGTCGCTACTAAAAGTAGCGGCACGACGGTGATGTCGATGCAGGAATTGCAATCAGCGATGACAGTGCTACATAAAGCTGATTTGTGAGACCTACGAGAATCATTACTGGCTGCTGCATTGAATAATGGTGGGTTGTTGATGAGATCGTGGTGGTTTCTTGTTGATAGGTCTGTAAAGGAGTTTTAGCTGAAAATAGTGGTTGTGGTGGTGGTGGTGATGGCTATGGTAGTGGAGGTGGCGACGATGACAATGAGGTGATGGTGTTTATAGATCTAATTTGTTGGCGATGAGGTGGTGGTAATGGCACTGGTTGTAGCTGTGGAGTGAGGATTTTGATGAAGTTGTGATGGTGGTCATGGTCACAAATGGCAGTACTGGTGAGATGGTGTTAATGGTGATGGTGTCGAGGGCAATGATGATTGTGGTGGTAGTGGTCACAAATTATTTAGTTGATCGTGACCAATAAATTGATTAATATGTAACTAATAAATAAATATGTAACCAATGAAATAAATAATTTGTAACAAATAATGAGTGACCTAATGTGACCAATAATTTTATAAATTGTGATTGAAAAGTAAATTGTGACTAATTATTTAAATATTTTGTGACCATAAAATAAGTTGTGAGTTATAAAATTTGTGAATTGTGATCAATGAATAATACGTGGCCTATTAATTTGATAAATTTGTGACCTATAAAATATTTTATTCGTAACCGTGAAATAATTTGACATATAATTTTTTTTATTGTGATCGAGAAATAATATGTAACCAGTTAATTCAATAATTTGTGATCAAATCATATAAAATTGTGACATTAATATATTTAATTAATAAAATTTATGTTTCATTAATTATTTATAAATAAAATCTGAATTTTGAAGTTTTAAACTTTGTTTCTTAGTTTTGAAATATGTCATACTTAATCTCTTATATATAAATTTTTTCCATAATTTTATACGTGAATCTATAACCCTTCCATACTTTTTAATCACACATTCTCTAAAAAACTTATTTTTTAGTTCAAGTAGTCTCTCCCGAAACAAATACTTAGAGCATCTCCAATGGGGCTATGAATTACACAAAAAGTGTGCCACATCACCCCCTAAAATGCGTACATGCAAGAAAAAGGTGAAGGATGGAAGGTGTGCTATGCATCCTCCACTTAATTTTTTTTATAATTTATCTTCATTAGAAAGTTTGTTCATTTAATTTTTTTTAATTTATTATCTCTACTCTTTCTCTATATCCTCGCTTATACATGTGATCCACAATTATTACATTCCTCATCCTAATGGAGATGTTCCTCTATCCATTCTCATCTTGCTTGTCATATGAATAACAATTTACATTGTTGCATTATGGATACTCTTAAACACTATAGTATTCCTTGTCAATCTAAACAATAAACTCTACATTTCAAAAATATTGTCAACTGTTGTAAAATAATGAGATAATTATTGACGATTATTTAATATTATCATTATACATAGATAAGTCTTATCTAATCTGGAAGATCTATTCCATTCCAATTATAACTCTTATTTTGGACCTTAGAAATATAGGGTATTGGTTGTTAATAATGTACATTTGAGTTTTGATTCTTATATTTTCTTCTCTTTTTCTCTATTTTATAACACGTTATCAACACAATCTCGTTACATGAAGCTTGCTCTACAAAATGAATTCTTTTCTCCGATTCTCGATCAAAACTCTTTCTCTCTCTCTCTAGTATATATATACATGCATCTTGAAAATTGTGAAAAAAATGGGGTATTGAAAGTAGGTGAATTAATTGCCACGTACATATATTGTATTCAGATTTTGTGGCTAGGTTTTTGCTCGTAGTTCATCCAATTTACAGAGGGATTTTCCAAAAATAAAAAAGGAGTATTTGGAGCATGGGACATTAAAATATATAGCCTTTAATCGTCGCAGAACCTTTTAGTTGGGTTTAATGCAATAGGCAAATCAAAAATTAATACTCGTGCAACAGGTAATTGATTCATAATTTTTGTTTCCTAATAAAAAAAATATATGTTGATTATTGTTTTCATCAAAAATTGTATGTGATGTATTTAACTGTTTGTTTCTTGTTTATCATTTGTTTAATTATCACGTTCAAATTTTTTTAAATACATATTATAGTTTATAAATTTAGTACTCTAATGTCTCTCTACTACAAGTAATTTGTTGGCGTTCCTGAAGTAATACAACAATGTTAATATTCTAAAAAAATCGATTGCTTTTGAAGAATCACAAATTTGCAAAGATTTACATTCTACTAGAACGCATGCTCCTGAAGAGTTGGTCTTTTTAAATAATAATTTGTTGTTGCTCTTGAAGTAACCTAGCATTATTAATATTTCAGAAGAATATTAATTGTTCTAGATGAGCATGATATTACAATTTCAATATTTTAAAAGAATCTTGATTTATTTCTATGTAAAATTACAAATTAAATTACTCCATTTCTCTACGTGTCTATTCATGAATATATATTTATATATTAATGTTCTAATCAGATTTTATTTGTTACTGAAGAGCATAATTAAATAAAATTTAACGTAAATTATGTTTTTACTCTCGAAAAGTAAATTCTTACATATTTATTATTCTAAATAATAATATGTTTATTGCTCCTGAAGAGCGTAATATTATTTTCAGTATTCTAAAAAAATATTGATTTATTACTTTTTAAGAAGAAATAATAAAATATAATGTCCTTTTGAAATAGCCTATATCCTGAATAATACATAGCTTATTATGTTTTTGAAAAAACACAAATTAAACAACTCAATATTGGATTATAATTTTTGATGAAAACTAATTTTCTATATTATTAATATTAAAAAAGAATATTAATTTATCGCTTTTGAACATAAATTATAATTTTCAGCATTTTAAAAGAATATTGACATATTGTTCTTGAAAAAGTAATAATTAAAGTTAATGTGTTCTTGAAGTAGCACATTTTCGAAAAATATATTATTTTGAATTCATGTTTATCTCTGAAGGAAAATATATAATGAATGTTATGATGACATTGATTAGTTTTATTATTTGAATGATATATGATTCTACAAGCTTTCATCGTGTTCTTCGAAACTAAATAATTGAATTATATCTTATATTGAACCAGATGTTTAATTTGAGTTTGTTGTTTGGCATAACAAGTTGGATCATCAATGGATAAATAATGATGCGAAATTAAAAGTTCAAATAGATATTTAATAAAGAACAAGAAGATTCTTCAATTCAATTCTATATGTTTTTTGTTCTTTTTTATGAAAATTTTTCATTAACTATCACTAGCTAAAATAGGGATTGAATTTCCTATATTTTTGAAAATTAATTCAGGTGATAAATAGAGCTCCATCATCCTCCACGTTGATCATCTAGATATTATTTGAATTTAATAAATTCGATACATATACTAGATGATTGGATGGTGTTCGCAACTTAAAGTTTGCGAAATTACTGTTCAAATTTTAAATTATGAGCATAATTTTCAAATTATATAATTAAAACTATGTCTTATTAACGTTAATAAGCATAAATCTCAACATTTTAATAAGTGTTAGTTGAAATGTCGATAAATTGTTTAACAATATTATTTGTTAAATTCCTCCAATTAAATTAGAACAAAGTACTTCCCATTTTTGTTTAGGAAATTCTATTACACATCATGCCAACATCATAGTTCTCCCTATTAGAATTGACTTGTGGTCAGAACTTAATTTTTCTATCTAATTATTTTGATAATGCAGTAAATGTAAAATTAAACCACCACAATGCACTGAGATTGAAA